ATCTGCTTTGTATTTAATTTTGGACACCCATTTACATCCAATGGGCTGTTTTCCTGTAGGGAGGTCAGTGAGAGTCTATGTCTTGTTTTGTTCAAGAGCTATGATTTCTGCATTCATAGCTTGCTGCCAACATTCATGCTTGACAGCCTCATTGTAGGTCTTAGGTTCAATGTTAGTGCTAATGTTTAAGCAATATTTGGTATATCTAGGAGAGCATTTATTAAAACAGACATATGAGGATATGGGATAAGGAGTAGTGTGCTTAGGATTAATACCTGAAGTTGTTGATGCTATAGCTGTAGAAGAAGGAAGATTGCAGTAGAAGTCATTGAGATAAGAAGGGGGACGTCTTAGACGATTTGGTCTGTTATTAGCAGTAGAGTTTTGTGGAGCAGAGGAATTGTTTGGGTCAACTGAAGAAACTGAAGGTGCACTTGGAACATTGTTGTTAGTCCATGATACAAAGAAAGGATCAGATGAATCATTTTGTAAATCAGAAACACGAGTGATATTGGGTTGTTCATTGGGCTTTGAAAAAGGAAATACAAAATCATGAAAAACAACATTTCTTGAAACACAAATTTTATGGGAAGACAAATCAAGAACAATATAACCCTTGGTTCCTTCTTTGAATCCCAGAAAAACACACTTGTAAGCACGATGTGAGAATTTTGTTCTATGGTTTAGTAGTGTATTTGCAAAACATAAACAACCAAAACTTTTTAGCTGTGTGAGAATTGGGGGTGATCCATACATTAATTCATATGGGGTTTTATTATTTAGGAGAGGAGTAGTGATACGATTGATTAAATGAACCGCATGTGAGATACAGAAAGACCATAGATTTAGAGGTAAGTGTGCTGGGAAAAGAAGGGATCTGGCAACATTTAACAAGTGTTGATGCTTACGTTCAACAATTCCATTTTGCTTAGGGGTTTCAACACAGGATGTTTGATGTAAAATGCCTTTGCTTTCATAGTATTTGGGCATGTCAAATTCAAGTCCATTATCACTGCGTATGGTCTTTACTGTGATATGAAACTGATTTTGAATTAAAACTATAAAATTTTGTAAATGCCTGCGAGTTTCATGTTTAGCTCGCATGAGTTTGATCCAGGTAAACCGAGAATAGCCATCTACTATTGTAAGGAAATAGCGGAAGCCATGTATACTGGGAGTTTTATATGGTCCCCAGATGTCTACATGAATAAGCTCAAAAGCATAAAAGGATTTTGCGATACTGGAAACATAAGGCAGTTTCCTTTGTTTAGAAAGATGACATATATCACAAGGAATTACAGAATCTGAAGGAAGAAAAGGAAATTTACATGACATGTGTTCCATGGTAGATGGAGAAATGTGTCCTAGACGTAAATGCCAAAGGGCAAATTTATTTGAAACAACTGACTTAAGACTATAAGTTGTCTTCAACTTATTCTTTGCTGGAACATCAATGACAAACAATCTGTCTTCTTCCTTAGCTATACCAATCATCCTCCTGGTATTCATCTGGAAAATCAAGCATTTGGAGTCAGTAAAGGTTAGGGAGCAAAGGGAAATATGAGAAAGTTTGCTAACAGATATTAAGTTTACTTGGAATTCAGGCACAAATAGTACATTGTAAAGTATAAGGCTATCTGTTAGGTGAATGGTTCCAGAATACTTGGCATACACTTTGGAACCATTTGGAAGGGTAATAGGGATAGGCTTAATCTGATTGATGCTATCAAAATGTGAAGAAATAGGGGTTATATGATCTGTGGTTCCAGTATCTATAACCCACCGAATATGGACATTACCTGTTTGTGGAGAAATCACATTGAAAGAATTAGATGTATTCACATTGAATGTTTCAGAAGGAGTTTGAGCAAGATTGGAGACATGTACATCATTAGGCTCATTCACTGGATGATGTTGCTGTCCAAGATTGGATTGTATCATATCCAAGATTATCTGATATTGAGTCTGAGAGAATACATCAGCATCATGTTTCATTTCCTGTTGTGGATCTTCAAATTCTCCCACTTCTTGAAATGCAAGATTAGCAGCTCGCATTGGGATATTTTGCTTGAAACCTTGTGGATAACCGTGCTTCTCAAAGCAAGTTTCCACAGTGTGGTTGGTCCTACCACAATAAGTGCAAAGTCTGTTAGCACGTCCTCTTCCACCATTATTTCGACCTCGGCAACGAAATGAATTATTGAAACCACCAACATTGTTTCCACCACGAGCATTGAAACCACCAGCAGTGGTACTACCATGAAAAGAACTGTTAAAGACTCTTTGAACTGCTGTATTTGTAAGGATCTTTGGTTCTTCATTGACATTCAGCTGTAATTCAGAGTTCAATTGTCTTTCTTGCTGACTAACTATTGAAAAAATTTCATTAACGGATGGCAGAGGTCGCATAAGCATGATTTGTGAACGAACATTGGAGAACTGATCATTCAGTCCTCTAAGAAATCTTATTGCTCGATCCTTTTTCTCTTCCTTCTCGTACACGAGTGGATATTCCACAGTTACAAGGAATAGCACAAGTGCAAGTAGGGAGAGGTTGTAAAGTTTCAAGTTCGTCCCAGAGACCTTTGATTTGAGTGTAGAAATCTGATATTGTTCTTTCTCCTTGATGAATTCTATAGATCTCTTCTTGAAGATCTGAAATGCGAAAAACATCAGCCTGCGAAAATCTTTGATACAGATCGTTCCAAACTTCCACAACATTTTCACTCCATAACACTGACTGCAGAATTGTGTCATTTATCGAACGATGGATCCAAGAGAGGATCATCACATTGCACCTTTGCCATGCATCATACATATCGTCTGTAGGATCAAGAACATTGATTGTGCCATCTAAAAAACAGAATTTATTCTTCGAACGCAACGCCATCTTTAATGCCCGAGACCAAGAATGATAATTCTTTCCATTAAGCTGAGTTGAAACAAGATTCGGCGTAGGATTCTCACTCGGATGTAAAAAGTATGGATTCGCTGGGTTTGTAAAGTAATCTGGAAGAGGATTAACATTTGCCATATTTCTATAGTGCAGAAACTAGCAAGAAACTGTAAGAAAGAAAAAGAAGATGAACCAGATGAATACCAGAGCTCATATGAGCTCTGATACCATATTATGAATGAAGAAACTCATTGTATTGATTGATAAAAAAAAAAGTAAGTACAAAGTGCTAAGGCTACTGCTATATATATCAGTGAGCCTATGTACAAATCAGGAACGAAAAACTAAGTGAATCTAACAAACTAGTTAACTTAGCATAAACAGAAATATAACTAACTAACTAATTATAACTGACTAACAGACTTGGCATTTATATGTTAATACGATATAAACATACTTACCAGTAAATTACCAAATACTGAGTAGAAAAATAGGTTGCTGCTTGTACCCAAAAAAGAAAAAAGAAAAATGCTGCTATTGCGGCGCTGTTCCGTTCCAGTCTCTCGAGTTGTACAATTTGTATTGTTTTTCTTCAGCGGCTCAGAACTTCAATTTATAACTACGTTTTCCCAAATCATATCACGTACGCCAATGACAGCGATGCTTTTACTGTTTTGTTTTTTTTTCCTTTTCTTTGTTTTTTTCAACACTTCAGAGTTCAGAACTGTTATTTATGGTCAAATATGCTTTTGGCTACATCTTTTATTGTTTCACTTCATGTATTTTGCTTCAATTGGGCCAACTACTTATATACCTCTGGCTTGATATTGGGCCATGGGCTTTGTGATGTAATCTTTTTCAACGCTATTTTTTGGAACAAACACTACGGAAAAATGGCTTCTATTCTTACTGTTAATTATCCACAATTTAAAAACGAAGCCAATCCTGGAAAGTAAATTATATGTTCTAGGGAAATAAAATAAGAATCAAAATGAGAAGACACTAAAAAAAATAATGTTATCAAACTCGAATCGGTCATTAACTCAGTTAGGGCATTAGATCAATGGATTACTAATTCAACTAGTGGATAGTTCAAATGCTTGAATTAAATGTATATAATAAAATATAATAAATACGAAAATAGAAGAATTATAGCTAATAAATATAGTTGGTTTAATGATAAATATTGTAATCTATAATCCACATGTTTAGATCTAAATTTCATTGGTGGTATTTTTCAAGCATTTTATTCAAAATTTCACAAAATTGGTATTTTTAAAAAATCAATGCGGGTGTAACACCGGTTGAACCAGGTTCAAGACCAGTTCACTCATTTTATATCGAATCAAATGTATAATCGATCTAATACTTAAACCGGACCAATTGCGGGAGTGATTTACTAGCCAATTGGTCACATCGGCCAGGTAAGATCAGTTTTTATAACACAACTAAAAAAATGCAGGTATTAGGTTCTTGTGTGGGTTTCAGACTCATGAGATGATTTGGAAAAAGATTTTTAATGGGTCAACCTGATCCATTGTATTCCGACCCGCCCCAACTCAAAAACTTTGACCGTAATTGCACCGCTTCAATATTAGAACTAATGATTTTTTTCTGTTCTATTTGTCAATTTGTGCCACGTAATGACAACATATTGCAAATAAAGATGGAAATAATTTACAATTCTTTTGGTACTGGAAATAATTTAGTTTGACTATAAAATAAAATAATATGATTATTAATGGTTATATCGTGATTCTTACATATCTAGAGCAATTTGTCGTAATCATATTATAGACGTGTATTGTCGTTTACAGAATAATTTAAGCCGGAATAGATGCCCACTTTTTTCTTTCTCCAAAACTATATTAAATAAAGCAACTATATATGTGGAAAGGTAAGAGGAAGAGGGAAATTTGGTGGAAGATGCCAATCAACTTAGTTTGTAATACATTTTGCATCTCTCCTTCCATTGCATGTGTGAGTAGAAAAAAATATTTTCTACTTGAAATTTATATGATTTTACTGATTAAACTATTTAAAGGGAAAAAAAAAAGGAGTTGGCGATGTTTTCTTATAAATACAGCTGCATTCTGGCACATAGCTAACATTTAGGTAGATCAGGAGGTGGTGGAGGGAGAGAAGTTGAAGGAGTTGGTCCATTCTCAACCTCGAATGCCGTGTTCAGTCCCCATAACATATGATCTTCCACATGACAATGCACAAACCATACTCCTATAAAAATAATGAACATATTAGCACCCTATCTCAATCCGATTTTAAGATTTACATGAGCAATTATTTATAGATAAATTAACAGTTTTTTTATTTTATTTTATTTTTTTAACTCTCTATCTTAATATTATCCTTTATTTGTTTATATACAATTTAGATGGTATCATATGATGAGATTATGTTACATAAGAAATATAATCCCAAAATTAGCTGATTAAAACTAATGTTACATCTAGTCATTGTTTAATTTTAATTTAGAGTAAAGTCCATTTTGTGTACTCAACAAAAATTACATGACCTATTTTAATTCTTCAGAAGAAAAAAAATTGATTTGTGGTTCTTCTAAAATTCAAAATAAACTCAGTTAGTCGAAATCGTGGTCCCTCTGACATTCAAAGAAAATCCATGTTAATCTCTCAAAAGGACTAACATAGATCTATTTTGAATTTCAGAAGAATCACGAGTCGATTTTTTATTCCAATAAGATTAAATTGGCTCCGTACTATTTATTGAGGATCTAGAAGATACTTTACTATTTAATTTATTACTAATTTTACCTGGATTGTCTGCTTGGAATCTGATGACAGCCCACCCTCCTGCAGGCACAGCAATTGTGTTGCGTCTTTGAGGATTCACCAAATTATACTTGGCTTTGTCTCTGTTGGAATTGAAATTCCCAAACCCTTGAGCCAAAACATGGAAATTAAAACCATGAATGTGCATGGGATGGCTTTGCGCATTCAAAATGGCTGTATTTTGATACACAATCTCCACCGTTGAATTAAACTTGAGTTTCTTCACCTTGGTTGATTTTGGAGCAAATAAAAGGTTCGGGTTCAAACTGATTTTGGGGTTTGTGAAATCAAAAACCACTGGAGGGTTGTCAGGGAAATCTGAAGTGTACACACCACTCACGTTGTGAAAGAATGCCTCCATTATAGAGAACCCTCTCCCAATGGGAAGCACAAAGGACTCGTTGTTCATGCTTGAAGAGAATTTCTGTTGGAGTGCACCTTGACACGTGGCATTCGCGGGACACCTTTGTATGTTTACGTTAACGGTGATGAACATGTGCTCATCCACCTCAAGTGGGACAGGGACCCAATGTGGGCCCCCCACCAAGCCAGTTATGTTACTGAAGAATTTGTGAGCTGTTGGCGTGTCGTTGAAGGGTGGTAGTGCTACCTTCACAGGCTTCGATGATGTTTTGTCACCGTGGTAAACGACAATGCCCCGAGTTGTCGTCTTATCAAAGAGCGGCAGCGGTTCGCCAACAACGTAAGGAGAAGCAGCCATGTAGTATGAACCTATGGGTTGGTCAGCTTTTAAAAGCACATCAGCGCTCTGGCCAGGGGCTATGACAATGACGTCGGTTACATATTTTTTCGTGTATGTAGCATCAACAGCAACAACTGTGAACTTGTGATTGGCTATCTTGAAGAAAAGATTGTTATTGAGTGCAGCGTTGACCATTCGTAACAAGTACGTCTTTCCTCGCTTCACCCTTAGTTTGTATGTCTCTGAATTATGTTCAAAATATCATAAATGTACACAGATAGACCTTTTTATTAAAATTAAAAAAAAAAACTAATAAAAATTTAAGTAAAATTAAATACCGATATTTTACTAAAATCAGAGAAAAATTACCAATTTTTTTCGAGAATTTTCGTGAGAGACTTTTTACCTTTTTTTGAAACATTAGAGAGACCATATTTTAAGTGTTAAATAAATGAATACGTCAGATAACATTTTTTTCATGATCGTCATCACATCTAATTATAAGGATATGATATGATATTTAATTTTTTTATACCTATTCAACTCACTCCTTTTCAATACTATTGGATCAGACTCACCACAAACCTTCACTCTTTTTCTCATTTTTGTAAATTCTAAATCAACAGTGTTAGAGTGGAATAAGTAGAGTAGACATAAAAAAAAAAGTAGACATAATATAATATCCCCTAATTAAAAATGCAATTATGCTTGAAAAGTAGGAGATTGTAAGTGTAATTATATGCATTAGTGTTTAATAAGGTAAATACATACGATTTTGAGAACAATTGAAGAGATCACCGGGCAAACCATTGATGGTGAAGGCATCAGATATTCTTAAGCCGCCGGTGGCAAGTATTTGGGTCACAATATCCATAATATTACCGTTAAACCAATCACCTGTATTTAAATAAATAAAAAATTAAAAAATATATATTTTTCTTGTCGTGGAATTTATTACTATATTTTCAAGTAATTGCAAATTTAATAATTATATTCAGAGGTTTGACTTATCATGTGAACGGGGAAATAATATGTCAAAAAGATAAGACAAGGTCAGCAGAAGTTAATACCTAATATTATTGGAACTTGCTTGTAAGGTTTAGGAAATGGAAATCGACCCGAACGAGGGCGAATAATGAAAACACCATGAACTGTGGCACGTAAAAAAGACGTGTGAGCATGCCACCATAATGTTCCTTCTTGATCTGTCACGTTGAATTTATGGGTATAATTTTTTCCTGGACTAATTGGGCATTGAGTTATATATTCAGGACCATCTGCCCAGGCAGTAAAGAGCTGACGTACTCCATGCCTACATACATAGTTCAAAAAATTCATCACCAATTAGTCATTAGTTAAAAAAAGTATCAAAATATCTAGTGCAGGTGCTAATATTACGAAAGATGGAGGATGTATATTTACCCTTCATAAATTATACAGTCTACCTTGAATAATAATAAAAAATAAGGGGGAGAATCAGTTTATAATTTTTTTTGCAAATTACATCATATATTCCTGAAAATACATAGTGTACCTTCGTGTATTTCTAAAAATATATAATGTAATTTGTAAGAATTTTTAAACAAAAAATTTGTAAATATAATCCCCTTCAAAAATTAATAACAAAATATATGTCGCGTCCAATGACATCAGGAATAAGAAATAATAGGTGATGAACCATTAATTTTGATTTGAAAAAAAGAAGAAGAAAAGATAAAGAAAAAAAATAGTAATCATTGATATGATCACGTGAGGTAAAATTATGAGAAAATAACTTTATCCAAAATGTTTACCAATGAATGGTGATATTGTAGGGTGACTTGTTGAATACGTGAACAATCACAGTATCACCTTCCCTGACACTTATCGTTGGGCCAGGGAAAAGTCCATTGACTGTGACAATCACTTGCTCTTTGCACAAACGTTTGATAGTCTTGTTTTGCACCTGCAACAACACGTACGTGAAATTTCAATAATATAATAATATCATTAAGTACTGGGCAGAAAATATAGACATTTATAATTTTATTTTATTTTTTAAGATGTATACTAGCTAGATGACAATTTTATGTCACAACGTGATATTGTGTGAGAAAGGGTCGTTGCTACCAAGTATATTGCAAGTGGTTAGGTAGGTGGGTAGTTGAGTAGAGTAACGATCGGTCAATAAACAAACAGTACAAAAACAAGAAAACAAGAAGAAGAAAAAAAATAAAATAGAGATGCTAAGGTATCGACTCAAATGGTAGCCAAATTACATTGAAAGTATGTTCCACTGTAGCAGCAGAAGCCAAGGAAGAAGCTAGAAGAGAAAAAGCACATGCTAGCCAAAACACGAAAAGCTTCATGTTGAAGTGGCGAAACAAGAGAAAAATAGAAGGTGGAAGCTTTCTCTGAAATCAAGTGATGAGACTATATATAGCTGTGAGAAACTACACCTAGATATTTTGGTTAGTTACTGGATGTGTAGACCAGTTTGTTTTCCTGGTTCTACAACACGGGTTTCATGCACATAAAGACCTGTTTGTGTGTTCTGTAGGCAAGGTTGTGTGGATCCTATATATGGAGTCAGTGGTGCTCACTGTTTCCATGATTTCGTGTTTACTTAGTAATTATTGGTTAAAATAATAACAATACAATCGTCGTCGCTGATATATTATTTGTCAATTAAAGCTGCATCATCCTTTGGCAGAAAGTCTAGTTATCTTGGTTTGGTCACGTGGACACCCCACAAAGAAAACGACAAGTCAAAAACTCAGAATCATAAGCATGGCAGACTTTTTCAAACTAATGTTTCTAATTTTATTATTAGGAGAAGGTTATATTTAGAAATTTTTTATTTACAAACTCTTACAAATTACACTAAGTATGATCGGTTATACTTCAATAAAGAGTGTATGATTAGTGATATGCCTCCGGCACATATATGATTTTAAGCCCAAAAGAGAAAGAATCTTGATCAATCTTGAATAAAAAGGGCTAGAATTGTTATTAAATTGATAAATCTCAATCAGATATCTTGTCATTGATTTTCTTATGGTTTTGTAAGAAAACAAGACAAAAAGAAGTCCAAATTGGAGGCACGTAGTTATTTTAAAACTTGATTTAGACTGTATCAATAGAGATTGGATCAAAATATACGATGAAGATTCAATCAAGATTTCTACACAAGGACACAAAGTCTATAAATAGAGACTCAAACCCCAGAAGAAACAATATTTGGCTGGAGAGAATTCTTGGAGGCTCACGCTGGAGATCAGGATTCCGACCGAGTTGAAGACTGAAGACCATTGATCCTTCATCTTCTTCTTCTTCTTATTCTTTTTCTTTATTGTTTTCATGAATACTTTTTATTTCTTTAATTTGTTAGAGTCAGCTATGTCTGGCTAGTTTCTTTTGTAGTTGGGATCACGGACCCAATGTGAGTCCTTTATATTTCCAATACTGTTTTTATAAGTTAATTAGTTAGTTTGTTTTATTCTGCCTGTGTTAATTTTTCCATATCCTGTTTAGAACTGGTCACTCTAAATTATAGGGCTTTGAGAGTTAGGGCTCACAATAGACATATTAGGATTTTAATCTGGACAAGAGTAGAATAACAATTTGTGCATGACCTAGACATAGGCTTACATAGATTGCAGACTTTTAATTCATTTGCTTGATACTTAATTCAAGAGGGATTACTAGGACACTAGGATTCTAATTGGGTTAAAGAGTTAAAATCACTAAGACATTAGGGTTCAACTATTTTATAGGAAAATAATGAATTGTCTGAGCAAACGAATTAGTTAATTACAAAATACAATATAGGAATATAAGGAAGAATCGGAGGTGAAGTGCATCCTCGCTACAGTCTTTATACAATTTTTCATCAATCTCATATTTTCTTGACATTCTTAATCTTCTTGCATGCTTTTTAATGTTATTGTTTTTAAAATTACAACAACAAATCACTTTCACAATCAACCCAAGTTTCTTTTCCAATTAAAAAGGGAATAGTTAAATTAATCATTTGTGCATTAACCCTTGAGGGAATGATCTTTACTTATCACTTTTATTACTTGAAACGAACGGTATACTTGCCGATTTCGCAACAAGTTTTTGGCGCCGATGTCAGGGATAAATTACGCCAATATTATTTTTAACTTTCTATCTTTAATATTCGACTTTTATTTTTTATTTTTTATTTTATTTATTTATTTACTTATTTATTTTTTTATTTTAGTTTTTTTTAAAAAATTAATATTTTTTATTTTTTATTTTTGTTTCTTTTTGTTTTTATTTTTTATTTATTTCGGTCTTATTTATTAATTTATTTAGTTTTTTTATTTTTTTTAATAAAAATAATTAAAAAAAAATTTTATTTTTATTTTTACTAATTTAATTTCTCTATTTTATGCGAGGTAAAGTTAACCGTGAAACCTTACCGTTTGATCCAAAAATCGAAAAGACTGCAAAGAAGAATCAGAAACTAACCAAGCTAAGGAAACAAGAGGAATCCTCGAGTTTAGAGCCAAAAGCAGAACCCGAGATGGTAGAACCTAATCCACCATCGGAGGACGAATTGATGGAGTCAATCCTGGCTCCATTGTTCACAAGGCCAAATTCTAGTATCGTCAGACCACTAATTGATGCTAACAATTTTGATATCAATCTAACACTGATCTCCTTGGTGGAGAAAAATCCATTTGGTGGGGAAGATTATGAAGACCCCCATGATTTCATTGACAGATTTATAAGAATCTGTGATACAACCAAGCATCACGGGGTGTCAGATGATGCAATTAGACTCCAGCTGTTCCCTTTTGCTGTAACAGGGAGAACTCTCAGATGGTTGGATAGACAAGCCCCCAACAACATCAGAACATGGGATGAACTGACGGCCAAGTTCTTCGCTGAGCACTTTTCCATGGAGAAATACAACAAGTTGGTTAATGAAATTACCAACTTCACTTTACAGCCAGAGAAACTTTGTGTGCAGCTTGGACCAGATTCCAAGAACTGGTCAGGAAATGCCCCCAGTATGATTTGCCGGACGGAAAGAAAGACAGAGTCTTCTACAATGGGATGACACCAGAGTCTAGAATGATTGTCAATGGTGCAGCTGGTGGAACCATAGGGAAGAAGACAACAGCTCAAACCTTAGAGCTGATCGACAACATGGCAAGGAATGAGAACGCATCAATGGAAGTTCAACCAGTTCAAACAAGACATGGAATTCTGCAATTGGGAAACAATGATGCATCGTCAGCTGATCAAAAGATCTTATCTCAACAGATAGCAAGTTTGAATGCTAAGTTGGACAAGATGCAACTTTCTTCAGCTCAAGTTGATTCAGTTAACTGTGAGTATTGCAAAGGAGAGCACGAGACCAACGAATGCCCAACACTGGTAGGATCAGATGCATTGGAGGTATTTATGGAGGACTTTTCTATTTTTGGTTCTTGCTTTGATTCATGCTTAGTTAATTTATCTAAAGTATTGAAGCGTTGTCAGGAAACAAATTTAGTTTTAAACTGGGAAAATGTCATTTCATGGTAAATGATGGAATAGTATTAGGTCATAAAATTTCTGAAAAAGGGATCGAAGTTGATAAAGCTAAAGTGTTATTAATTGAAAAACTTCCCCCTCCTGCTAACGTTAATGGTGTTCGAAGCTTTTTAGGCCATGCAGGTTTTTACGGAAGATTCATCAAGGACTTCTCCAAGATTGCAAAGCCCTTGAGCCAACTCTTGGTGAAGGACACTGATTTCAAATTTGATGCCGCGTGTCTGAAATCCTTCAATCTGTTGAAGGAAAAATTGACAACTGCGCCTGTCTTGATGGCACCTGATTGGAATCTTCCGTTTGAACTCATGTGTGATGCGAGCACATATGCAATAGGAGCAGTACTCGATTAGCGTAAAGATAAATTATTACATGTGATTTAATATGCTAGTAAAGTTTTAAATGAGGCACAAGTTAATTATGCCACAACTGAAAAAGAAATGCTAGTTGTAGTATATGCATTAGATAAATTTAGACCTTACTTGATAGGATCTAAAATCATTGTTTTTACTGACCATGCTGCATTGAAGTACCTTATGAGTAAACAGGATGCAAAGCCACGGCTGCTGCGTTGGATGCTTCTATTCCAAGAATTCGACCTGGAGATTCGAGACAAGAAAGGAGTTGAAAACAAAGTAGTTGATCACTTGTCAAGGATTCAAGACAAAGAATTGCAAGATGGTCCTGAAATTGAGATCAAGGAATCCTTCCCTGATGAACAAGTGATGGCAATTCGTTTAAGGACCATGGTTCGCACAAATTGCGAATTATAAAGCTGTAGGATCAATTCCTGAAGACCTCACATGGCAACAGAAAAAGAAGTTCTTGCATGATGCAAAGAGAAGTAGCTTCACTGAAATAGTTTAGTTTATTGCTGAGGACAACAACATTCTAAATCTGAGAATTAGGCGCATACCATATGCGATACCTGCTGACTACAAAATTGCACAACAGAGACGTCTAACATAAAGTTTTTCTGTTAAAAGGGGAGATACTTAACCTTTCTTTTTATTATTTTCTGCTGTTTTTAATTCATTTTTTTTAAAAAATAAATAAATAAATAAACCAAAAAAATAGTGAATTTCTGAACAAGCATCCCTCAATTGTGCAAAAGCTTACTCAGTAATTAAACAGATTCAATCATAAGAAGCACATGTGATATCTGTGGAGCATCAATTTACTGTTATAATCTGAGAGTGATGATTGCTTGTTTGTATAACTGCTTTGATGAATTATTTTTAAATAATGGTTGATGTGAAATTTTGAAATTAGATTCTAGCTTGAATTTAATCTGTGAGGATTGAGCCTAAACAATAAATTTTTTTCAGAAAGGCCTCACTGTAGTAGTATTCTAGAACTTGATCTATTTCTCTAGCTTGCATGCATTACTGACATGATAAAGGCATGTTTATTCTTGTTAACTTAGAGCCAAATAGCCTACCTAAAAGAATTTTCCATTGTTATGTCCTTTTGAGCCTTAGACCAATTTATTCAAAAACCTGATGAAAATTACTTAACCATTTCTCCATTGACACACCTTGAAGAAATGCTGATCAAAGGAAAAGTCAAGGTACTTCTCAAAAGAAAAGTTAAGTAAGTTGAAAAAAAGGAAAAAGAAAAATGGTCTGCAAAAATGCAGCTCAAAAGAGAAAAGAAAGAAAACATCTGCAAACAAGGAAAGAAAAAGAAAAAGAAAGTAGTGAAAAAGGGAATAAGAATCCCAAATTGATGAAAAGTGGCAGAATTAAAAGATTGAGAAGAAAGTATTGTCAAAAATCTCAGTATTTCAGTCTCAACAATT